CTCTTTCGTCTGTCTCCTGGACAATTTCCTTGACTTTCCTCCTACCTTCTTTGTACATTTTGAAATTTGACTAGGGGCCCTGGTGCGTACAGACAAAGAGAGAGCGAAACACTTTCAATATTGAAGTGGAAATCTTGCCAGTCGATTCTGGAAAAAAAAAAGAGGGGAGAAAAAAACAGAAATGAAATGCTTCATTGTACAATACGTGCTATGTCAAAGCTGTTAGACAACACAAAGGAAAAACAAACAAACAGAAGGGTTTTTCAGATGCTGCGCCTCGTTTACTACAACAGAGCTGTTGGTTTCAGAGGCTTAAAAAATGGACTTCCTTAGAGTGCGTACATTAATTGCAAAGCTTTTACAACGTTCTCCTTTAGAGATAAGAGGCAGCCATAGAAGCACAGGGAGCTGAAGACTCGGTCGGAGGCCAGGGTGGCCACCAGTGAGTGGTGATCTTGGCAAAGCCCTTCCCCTCTCTGGGTCCCCAACAACAGGCCACATGGCTTCTACAACCTGTGAATCTGCCTGTTTAATTCCTCCCTATTAAAGGTTAATGTTTCTCCTAGGTGCTCAATATTCGTTGATAATCAGGTTACCCCTTGTCATAGAGGAGTGACAGGGAAGTTGATGATGTTTGTTTCTTTTTTTTTTAATGGAGGTACAGAGCACTGAACCTAGGACCCTGTGTATGCTAAGCATGCGCTCTACCACTGAGCTATCCTCCACCCTCCAATGATGGTTTTTGATTGGTCAACAACATTTATGAACGAACTTCTACTCTGTGCCAGGCCTATGTTAGACTATAGGCAAAAATCAAACAGTATTGTACAGTGCACCATGGACATCACACTGAATCTTTATCACCATTTGGAGAGGATATGTTTATTCCCATTCTACAGGAATGAGGAAACAGGGGTCCTGTAACCTGGTTGGGCTCACCCAGTATGATCCTCTCTCCTCTGCCACTTCAAGAAATTTTCATCCTCCTTGTAGGAAAACATCTCTTACACTTGAAAAAAAAAAAAGCTACTGTTCCAAGTGCCATTTTGTCAGAGAAGTGCATGGACTTCTCTCTGGTCTGAAGTTTACCTGTTTCTGCAGCCACACTAGACCTTGTTTACAATGCTCGGTTAACCGCCATTCTGCATGCTAATTTGATTCGCTAATGTTCTTGCTCTTCCTTCTCTCATATTTCTGCTCAAGCTTCGTTTCCTCTGATATGCTTATTATTTTCTAAAAAATATCTAATTTCTAATATCTGTAGGTAGATGGAGATTTGCATGTTGCCACCTTACCAAGGTTAGTGTGTCTGAAATTTCTCTCCTTCCTAATTTTTCTTTCTACCTTCTGACCATTTCCTGGTTTGAACATTACTTAAGATGCTCAGCAGAAGGAAACAGACTGTCTGCTTAACATAGCCCAGTGGCTGAATCTCCTGACATTGGAAATTAGGGAAGAGCTAATGCTAGTACACGAGGTGCACTGTCTGAGGAATAGTTTTAGAATGAGTCAAAAGGCGCCAGGGGCTATAATTAGGCCGTGTTCATGCAGAGTTTTAAAAACGGAGCTCCTAGGATACAGGCTGGTTCCATTTCACAAGCATCTCTTGAGCAGATAAATTACATGCCTGGTTGCTAGCACTGTGCATGCTGGGAGGGATGAGAGGTGAGGGGTGGGGCCCTCCCTGGAAGAGCTCACAGTGTAGAGTTTCTTTTCTTTTTCTTTTTCTTTTTAAATTGAAGTATAGTCAGTTTACAAAGTGTCAATTATTTCTGGTGTACGAGATAATGTTTCAGTCATACATACACATACATATATTTGTTTTCATATTCTTTCTCACTATAGGTTACTACAAGATATTGAATATAATTATTGGTGCTGTACAGAAGAAACTTGTTGTTTACCTATTTTATATATAGTAGTTTGGATCTGCTAATCCCAAACTCCCAATTTATTCCTTCCCACCTCTTTCCCCACCTGGTAACCATAAATTTGTTTACTATGTTTGTGAGTCTGTTTCTGTTTCATAAATAAGTTCATTAGTGTCTTCTTTCTTTTTTTATATTCCACATATGAATGATATTTTCCTTTCTCTTTCTGGCTTACTTCACTTAGAATGACGATCTCCAAGTCAATCCATGTTGCTGCAAGTGGCATTATTTTATTCTTTTTCATGGCAGAGTAGTATTCTATTGTATAAATATACCCCAACTTCTTTATCCAGTCATCTGTCTACAGACATTTAGATTGCTTCCATGTCTTGGCTACTGGATATAGTCCTGCTATGAACATTGGGGTGTATGTATCTTTTTGAATTAGAGTTCCCTCTGGATATATGCCCAGGGGTGGGATTGCCAGGATCATATGATAAGTCTATTTTTAGTTTGGTTTTATTGCATTGTATTGCAATTTCTCCTATGGGCACAATGAACAGATAGGAAATGATGTATATTCAGGGCTGGTCACTGTAGCAGTGTTTGAAAGATCAGACCATTAGAAACAACCTAGATGTCCATCAGTAGGGGGCCAGCGAAATACGGGTTGGTGCAACCATGAAATAGAACAGCCGTTAAATAAACTAAAGAAGCTCTTTGTATGTCAGTGCAGGGAAATTTCCAAGTTAAAGTGTTAAGTAAAAAATACAAAATACAGATCAGAGTCTATACTATGGCACCATCTGTGTAAGGAGAAGGAGAAAAAGAATAAAAGACCGCTTATAACATGGGTTGCCTAACCTACGGGGAGAGGAACTGGGGGCAGAGGGGTGTGAGTGAGGATTTCAGCTCTGTTCTATTTTTATTATTTTTGAATCTTGAATCTTGTGAATGCATTATCTATTTTAAAAATATCCATATATATATATACACACACATACATACATATATATATATGGTGCTCCCCTCATCTCTCTCTCTCTATATAAGGTTATTTGAGGAAGAAAATAAACTAAACCCAGTTTGGGCACAAAGTGTGAAAGGAGGGGATGGCAGGAAGATGGGGTGAGTGAGGGGTTAGAGCCTGAAGATTTCAGGCGAAGGGAGAGTGTACATGGTGTGAGAAGTCTGGATTTATCCTGTGACTGACAGCTGCTTGTGGAGACCTGGTCCCCATGAAGCTGGAAGGAGGAGGCTCGGACCAGCGAGAAGTAAGGTGGGTAGAAAAAGGAGGAGGGATCCGTAGGAAACTGAGGGATCTGCCGAGAATGAGGGAGAAAGGGAGGGGGGAAGTGCTGGGGGTGGGGGGGACCTGGGAATATGGTTTTGACCTTGGTTGAGATGGGCTCACAGGATGGTAGGTTGGGGTGAAAGATGTCAAGGCCAGCTTTGGAAGTGTCAAGGGCTCACCTGTAGTGGTGAGGCCTGCACTGGGCTTAGAGAGGAGGAAGTTTCCAGCAAGAGGAAGAGAGATGAATCATATCCTGGAGGGAGAGAAAGAGAGAGGGCTGGGAACCATAATGAAGTGAAAAATTTCATGTTGTTATGTTTCAATCTTTTCCCAGGTGGCTTCTTAATCTTAGTAGGTAACAGCCAGTGTCCATGCAAGAATGGGGAGAAGAGAATTCATACACAGATCTCTTGTATGCATTGGTACAGTGTTTTTGGAGGGTGATTTAATATCAGTCCACATTTAAATTGCAGATGCCTTGTAACCTATTAATTCTTACAGAAATAGTCACTTGTGTGCTCAAAGCACACAACGATATTTTCTGAAGTATTTGACATAGCAAAAAAAGGAAACATTAATAGGGAAATGGTTTTTAAAAATGAGAGTAAATTCATCCTATGGAATACTATGCAGCAGAGAACAACAGCTCTATATGTGCTCATATTAAAAGATGACTATGATTTAGCAAGCGAAAAAAGCAAGTTATTGGAGAATAACTATGATTTTCAATTATGGGGGAAATCTGTCCAAATTCATACCCAGACATTTTGAACATTTGCCGCCACCCAACTGTTGCTAGTGGGCAACTCTGCGGAGGATGAGGAGTGAGAAGGATGAACGTGCTTTGAAGGGATTATTTCAATTTTACTCTATATACTTCTGTACTTTTTTTTTAACAACAGATATTTTACTTTTTAAATTTCAAACATTAATGGGGGAAAAAAAAACAGGGATACCGAATCTTATGAAGTAGTTGTGGGAATGAAATAAGCTTCATAAAGTGCCATACCAATGTACAGAGGTCGTTATTTTTATTGCATAGTCAGTTCCTTGGGGACTAGGCTGCTGTCTTGCTCAGTTATATTTGCACGTATCATATTTTCATATGTTCATTCTTTCAACTTTCTGGTAGAATATAAGTTTCAAGAAGTCAGCGACCTTTTCCACAGTGCTTTCCTTTAATCCCCAAGGGACGCAGGAGCGCCTGGCGCTCGATAAACGTCTGTTTAATTAAAAAGAAAAACTTAAAAATGTACCTCTATGTACCAGACTAGTTAGTGGATGTTCAGCTGTAGAATAAGACTGCAAAGAACAGGTGTCCATTGACAATTATTTAGTGTGTCCCCAGTCCAAGTAAAGCTCAAGGCTGTCGTCCGGACATTAGGTCCCAACTCGCTAAATTCTCAGGACGGCTGGGAACAGCGATTCCGGCAAAGGACTCCTCTCGAAGGCTGGGAATTTCGTACTTGAAGAGGCGAGGAGGGTTGCTTAGCAACTGGACGGCGGAGGCGGGCCGCAGTGCGCACGCGTATGAGTAGGGCCGACGCGCGCGGGCCGGTCGTTTCGCGCACGCGCGGGCGGCGGCCTCGGGGCTTTCAGGGCCTGACGGTTGCTAGGGTGACAGGGATACAACATGGCGGCCGGATCCTAACGCTCTCTTCGTCGAGGGACCACCTCGGAGGTCCTACTTCGGGACCCTGCCTCGGAGGAGTGAAAGCCAGAGGGCCACCCTTTCTGTCCCTTTATTCTCTATCCGGCATCGGCAGAGGGCTGTCGCCGGCTCCCGCATCCAGGATGAAGAGTTGAGTA